ATATCTGAGCCATTAGCGATTATCTTTGAGAAGTCATGGAAGACAGGAGAGATTCCAGGAGACTGGAAAAAGGCAAATCTAGTGCCCATCTATAAAATGGAAATAAGGACAACCCGGGGAATTACAGACCAGCCAGCTTAACTTCTGTACCCGGAAAGATAATGGAGCAAATAATTAAGAAATAAATTTGCAAACACCTAGAAGATAATGAGGTGATAAGTAACAGTCAGCCTGGATTTGTCAAGAACAAATCGTTTCAAATCAACCTGAGAGCTTTCTTTGACAGGGTAACAAGCCTTGTGGATGGGGGAAAGTGACGTGGTATATCTTGACTTTAGTAAGGCTTTTGATACTGTCTCGCATGACCTTCTCATAAACAAACTAGGGAAACACAACCTAGATGGAGCTACTATAAGGGGGTGCATAACTGGTTGGAAAATCATTCCCAGAGAGTAGTTATCAGTGGTTCACAGTCAGGCTGGAAGGACATAACGAGTGGGGTCCCACAGGGATCAGTTCTGGGTCCGGTTCTGTTCAATATCTTCATCAATGATTTAGATAATGGCACAGAGAGTTCATTTATAAAGTCTGCAGAGGATACCAAGCTGGGAGGGGTTGCAAGTGCTTTGGAGGACAGGATTAAAATTCAAAATGATCTGGACAAACTGGAGAAATGGTCTGAAGTCAATAGGATGAAATTCAATACGGACAAATGCAAAGCACTCCATTTAGGAAGGAACAATCAGTTGCACACATACAGAATGGGCAATGACTGCCTAGGAAGGAGTACTGCGGAAAGGGATCTGGGGGTCAGAGTGGATCACAAGCTAAATATGAGTCAACAGTGTCACACTTGCAAAAAAAGCAAACATCCTTCTGGGATGTATTAGCAGGAGTGTTGTAAGCAAGACACGAGAAGTCATTCTTCTGCTCTACTCCGCGCTGATTAGGCCTCAACTGGAGTATTGTGTCCAGTTCTGGGCGCCACATTTCAGGAAAGATGTGGACAAATTGGAGAAAGTCCAGAGAAGAGCAACAAAAATGATGAAAGGTCTAGAAAACATGAGCTATGAGGGAGATTGAAAAAATTGGGTTTGTTTAGTCTGGAAAGAGAAGACCGAGAGGGGACATGAGAACAGTTTTCAAGTACATAAAAGGCTGTTACAAGAAGGAGGGAGAAAAATTGTTCTTAACATCTGAGGCCAAGACAAGACGCAATGGGCTTAAATTGCATCAAGGGTGATTTAGGTTGAACATTAGGAAAAACTTCCTGTCAGGGTGGTTAAAGACTGGAATAAATTGCCTAGGGAGGTGGTGGAATCTCCATCATTGAGGATTTTTAAGGTTGGACAAACACCTGTCAGAGATGGTCTAGATAATACTTAGTCCGGCCGTGAGTGCAGGGGACTGGACTAGACGACCTCTCGAGGTCCCTTCCAGTTCTATGATTCTATAACACTTCCTTATTCACTTTCTCCACACCAGTCATGATTTTATAGACCTCTATCATCTCCCCCCTTAGTCGTCTCTTTTCCAAGCTGAAAAGTCCCAGTCTTATTCATCTCTCCTCGTAGGGAACTGTTTCATACCCCTAATCATTTTTGTTGCCCTTCTCTGTACATTTTCCAGTTCTAATCTATCGTTTTTGAGATGGGGCAACCTGAACTGCACGCAGTATTCAAGGTGTACCAGGGATTTCTATAGCGGCATTATGATATTTTCTGTCTCATTATTGATCCCTTTCCTAATGGTTCCTAACATTCTTTTAGCTTTTTTGACTGCCGCTGCACATTGGGTGGATGAACTATCCACTCACTGACTGAAGAACGATCCACGACTCGAAGAGCTCTTTCTTGAGCGGTAACAGCTAATGTAGATTATCGTCATTTTGTAGGTATAGTTGGGATTACATTTTCAAATGTGCATGACGTTGCATTTATCAGCATTGAATTTCATCTGCCATGTAGCTGTCCAATCACCCAGTTCTGTGAGAGCCTTTTGTAACTCTTCACAGTCTGCTTTGGACTTAAGTATCCTGAGTAGTTTTGTGTCATCTGCAAATTTTGCCACCTCACTGTTTACCCCCTTTTCCAGATCATTTATGAATATGTTGAATAGGACTGGTCCCAGTACAGACCCCTGGGGGACACCACTATTTACCTCTCTCCGTTCTGAAAACTGACCATTTATTCCTACCCTTTGTGTCCTATCTTTTAACCAGTTACCAGTCCATGAGAGGACCTTCCCTTTTATCCCATGTCAGCTTACTTTGCTTAGGAGCCTTTGGTGAGGGATCTTGTCAAAGGCTTTCTGAAAGTCCAGTATACAATATCGATTGGATCACCCTTGTCCACATGCTTGTTGACCCCCTCAAAGAATTCTAATAGACGGGTGAGGCGTGATTTCCCTTTACAAAAGTTATGCTGACTCTTCATTTCTGTGTCTGATCATTCTGTTTCTTACTATAGTTTCAACCATTTTTCCTGGCATTGAAGTTAGGTTTAATGGCCTGTAATTGCCAGGATCACCTCTGGAGCCTTTTTTAAAAATTGGTGTTATTTTAGTTATCCTCTTGTCATCTTCTCATATAGGCAATTGATTTACCCCAGCATCCGGCTTCCTACAACTTCAATTCAGTATGGCCAATCCGTGTTCAAAAATCACGAGGCAGTCTGGAAAATTGTGAGATTTTAAAGAAAAATAAATTTGCAGGTATTTTTTTATTTGGCTTTGGGTGTTAGATAATTCAGGGGCCACATTTGCAAGCTTTTCTCTGGAACCAGGAAGGCTAAATTTTTATTATTATTTTTTAAATGAGAGCTGAGATGCTCAGGGTAATAACATGATTCCAGTATTTGGGGTCTTTAAGAAAACCTGCAAAATCACAAGATTTGCACTAAAAATCACAGGAGTTGGCCACACTGTTTCCATTATACCCTTCAGCTCTATGGTCCCTACATGTCTTCAGCCCACACAGGTGTTGGAAATCCTTCCGGGGTACTTTTGTACCTAACACCGAGTGTGTGTGTGTGTGTGTGTGTGTGTGTGTGTGTGTGTGTGTGTTTGTTCCTCTCTCCTTCTAGTGGCTGGTCTCAACAATCATAACTGCCTGCTGCTGGAGGAAGATGCCGCAAGCCAGCAAGGATCCTGCGTTTCCGGTGCACACTGACAACTCACAGCTGCTGGCTGGCTGCATGGTTGCAGGGATGCTGTTGAGTAGGGGTGCACTGGACTGACGGGAAGCAGGTGAACTGATGGGTAAGGAAGAGGGAAAAGCCAGGAATTTCCACTTGCTGCCCCCTTTGTACAGACATTCCTGAGCAATGACTAAAGGCAAAAACGGGGCAAAGAGCATTTTTATTCTGGTCGCTTTTCAGCCGTTTCGTTCTCCCCTTATTTGGGTGCGCTCAAGAGGAGAGGCTGGCTAGCACAGGGAATCCTGACTAACGCCCCAGCGGGCAGCTGGACATTGACAGAGAGACGCTACAGAACACAACCGCTTACCACTGCCTCTTTAACAGCTCCCTTCTTTCCAGGGAGCTGAGCCCGCCAGGAGCAACGGGGTCAAAATTACATGTACACACAGGCAGGGAGATGGTCGAGAGCCATGGAGCATATTCAAGTGTGCAAAGGATCAGGGGTGCCTGATGAAGAGTGTAAACTCCATGGGGCAGGGAGATGATGTGCCCCCCCCCCCCGACCTGGGTGGTGGAGCTCCTCCCCTCCCCACACCCCTGGAACGCGTGGGGAATTGACACACAGAGAGAAGCAGTGATTTGTCTATGAACTGAACAATAAAAGCCATGCAGGAGGCCTCATGTCTTAAGCATCCTTCTAGCCTAAGAGATGACTCTAGCCCAGGGGTTCTCAACGTTTGTCTTTCTGAGCCGCCTCAACATGCTATTAAAACTCCACGGCCCCCCTGTGCCACAGCAACTGGGTTTCTGCCTATAAAAGCCAGGCCGGCCGTACGGGGTAGCAAGCAGGGCAACTGCCCGGTGCCCCACACCACAGGGCACCCCATGCAGCTAAGTTGCTCAGGCTTCGGCTTCAGCCCTGGGTGGCAGGACTCAGGGCCCCAGGCAGGGCGGCTTCAGCTGTCTCCTCTGGGCCCCAGCAAGTCTAATGCCGGCCCTGCTTGGCAACCCCTCTGAAACCTGCTCGTGGCCCCGCCGGGGGCCCTGGACCCCTGCTTGAGAACCACGGCTCTAGCATATGCCCTCCTGGACTGAGGACAATGTCCATCATATTTCCTAGGCCACCTCGGTTAGTCTGTTCAGCTCAGCTTCTCTTCGCACACCCATCCCCGCAGCGTCTGCCCCCCTGCAAGCAATGTTTGTCTAGCCCTTGAGCCAGGTTTCAATGCATTAATAATCTGGAATGGGGAGGACCCAATGGGTGCCAGCCTAGACCAGAGTGATTTCTTAGTCAAAGGGTAAGTGGCTGCTGCTTGCCCAGCCCTGGCAGTTGCAGAATTTGTCCTCTGGGCCCCAGGACGATAAAAATCTCAAAAGGAGGCAGCCAACCCGTCCTAGGATCTGCAATAGTAGCTCAGAGCTCGTCCCCTTCCTGAGGCGGATTCATTAGGACAGAGTCTTGCTACAATCCCTTCAGCAGGCCTGCCTGTCCCAATTCCCGGCCAGCCCCCTGGCTGTTCCCACCACCTTTACATTAAGTGAATTAACGAACCAGCTGCTCAGCAAGCCAGCACCCATTTAACCCTTATTTTGCCAGCTCCCTGCCTGCTAACAAGGTCGGGGTGTTAGTCAGAGACCCCCGGAGCCTGCCAGCAAACGCCAACAGCTTTGTGGGTTTCCTAGCACCCTGGATGTGCAGAACGCTTTGCAAATGCATCGTTGGACCAGGTCCCTGCCCCGTGGAGCTTACAATCTCCTGGCCCAATTCTGCCCTCAGTGACTGCATTGTAACCCAGGGTAGAACTGGGCCGCAGTCAGGACGTTACGCAGCTTGAAATCCATCTCCTCCGACTCGTGCCTGGGCTAGTTTTCCGAGAAGTGGCTGGACTCCGAGAGGACCTTCCCATCCTTGGTCTCGACGGTCTTGATCAGGATCGGCCTCTTGGGCGAGGAGACTGGCCCGGGCGGCGTGGCAGCCCTGCCCGGGGAGGGGAGTGCCACTCGGGAAGGCAGGAGTCCGGCTGCGTAAGCAAGTCAGGAAGGGGTTGGGTTTAGAAATCTAATCAAGAAATCAGAGAGGGTTCGGTTTTACGAAGAGGCTCTTGATTGGTTCCCAAAGCGATTAAGCAAATGAGAGGTGGGCAAGCTGGGATTGGCTGGCCAATCAGAGGCAAGGATTTACGCATGCAACTCAACGGGGGAACATGTTCCTGCCCTTGCTCGGACTGACAGCGGCTAATTTGCATTAGGTCTGTGATTTACATCTATTTACATACAGAGATACCCCGGTGCGCGTGACGGGCTTGGAACACCGGCTCAGGGGCAGACCCAGAGCCCGGGCCATGGAAGGAGCCTCACGGGATCGGGCTGTTCGTGCGTCATCACCTCTGTCGAGCGGCTGGTCTCGGCGCCAGCCCTCTCCTGAGGCTCAGCTAGGGAGATCAGGCACCTCAGCACCTATGAAAAAATTCCTCCCGCCCGCCAGTTCCTAACTCAAGGGATAGCGGCTGGTGCTTCCCACCCCCATTCTCAGCTGCAGGGCATCTGGGCGCCGGCCTGTTCAAAGCCATCAGGCCCTGCCCACACGGATCTAACCTGCAGCGACCCGAGGGCCCCGCTCGTCACATTTTGGAGACGCCCGCCCTGCGGCCGAGCTGGGACCCCAGCAATCCCGCCGGGGGTCACAGCCACATCCCCCCATTGCACAAGACACTGGGCCCAGTTCACCCGCGGTCCCTAGGGCACCATCACTGGCTCCCCAAGTTCCTGATTGTTGAGGCCGGGCCCTGGGGCACCATTCCATCGCCCAGGGTCTAACCCACACGGGCAATGGGGGTGCTGTCCGGGGACCCCGCTCCCCTGTGGGTCGTGCACAGGCAGGCAGCTGGGAGGCGGAGAGCCCCGGCCCATACACCAGAAGTGGGGCTGACTGCTCCGGCAGGTAGGGAAACCCTGCCTTGGGCTGCAGAGGCACCGTGGCGCATGCAGGACTGGGCTGCCCTCGCCCCCAGGCACCGAGGCCAGACACACCAGGGGAAGAGACTCACCCCGTTTGTCCATGGCGCTGCTATGCAGGTTCGGGCCTTGGCCGATCATCCTGGGAGAGAGAAATCAGACACGGGAGCGCCGTCAAGAGGAGCACGTTACGGGGCTGGCAGGAGGGGTTGGGTGGGTTCTTGCCCACTGGCGACCTGACAGAGACCTGCCCTGCCGTCGCTGGCTCAGGGGGCCCTTGCCGCACAGAGGGGTGAGAAGCGCTCATGGGACTAGCGAGGTGGGGGACGATGGGGGCAGGGCGGCCAGTGACTTTCCCAGGGTCCCACACGGCAGGGAGCTCATCCCAATAGGTCATGCTGCCTCGAGCTTAGTAAGCCAAAACCTGAGGATGAAGACGCCCTCCCCACCCTGGCACAGAGCCCCCCCTTGCTGTAGCCTGTCCAGGCAGCCTCCCGCTAGCCTCTTCCAATGGAGGAGTTTGCCAGCGTCCCGGGTGGCTTCTACCAACGCACCCCGTGATTCCAGCCCTGGGTCTGTCCCCCCCATACCTGTGCAGGTGCCCCTCAATCCTGACCCGCAGCCCCCCTTGCTATCCCAGCCCTGGGCCAGCCATACATGGCTGTGGGCAAACAGGGGTTTGCCAAGCTCCCCAGGTAACCCAAGCCGGGTCCCCCCGCCCTGCCCCTGGGGAGCGCTCACCGGTTCTCCTCGCCCTCCAGCAGCTTGCGGTAGGTGGCGATCTCCATATCCAGGGCCAGCTTGATGTTCATCAGCTCCTGGTACTCGCGCACCTTCCGCGCCATGTCCTGCTTGGCCCCCTTCAGCGCATCCTCCAGCTCCTGCACCGTGTCCTTGGCGCGGCGCACGGCCTGCTTGCCCTGCTCCTCTGCCAGCGCGATGGCGCTCTCCAGGTTGGCTCGCTAGCGCCGGGGGCAGAAACAAGGTCACCTGGGGGGGTGTGTGTTCTGGGCTGCCCGTCGAAGGAAGGGGGTGATTGCACCAATCACTGCTCCCCCAGAATCCTTTGCACCTGGTCCCATAGCCCTCCCCAGAAGCAGCCTTGGGAACCAAGACAGGGGGTTACCGGGACTTTCCCCCAGTGGGGTGGGGGGGGAAAGAGAACACGGCTCCCCCCCGGCAGTCTCTGGCCTCAGCAGAGAAGCCGGCTGGCACAGGCTGAGTTGCAGGAGGGGGTCCCTGGGAAGGGAGCATGTCCCTGCCCCACACCGAGCCCCCTGTCCGGGAGGCAGGCTGCACAAGGTGGGGCTCACCTGGTTCTTCAGGGCCTCGATGTCAGCATTGATCCTCTGGGCGTAGCGGTTCAGCTCCGCGATCTCGCTCTTGATGGTTTTCATCTCGTCGTTGTGCTTCTGGGCCTGGGTCGCCATGTCGTCGAACTGGGGGGCGAGGGGGAGAGGGAGGGGTTGCCAAGGCCTCGCCTCAGTCGTCTGGGTCCCAGAGCCCCTCGCCTGCCCTAGAGAGGTGCCGGCAGGGAGCCCGAGGGCAGAGCTGGGACAGACCCATTCGATCCCATCCACCAGGCCAGCACAGGGCTGTTCCCTAGCGGCCGTTCCCCTGGGAGCTCGTCCATCGCGTGGGGCTGGGACGTTTATCCCCGGCTCTTTGTGAGCAGGGCCCAGCCAGGGTCCTGCTCCACCAGGGAGATGGCAGGAATAGCCCAACCCCTGGTTGGGGGATGTGAACCCACAACCCCTGCTGGGAGCTCTTGCTGCCTGGAGGACACACGAGCCTTCACCAACTCGCTGGGGGCCCCTGGCTGGACCAGACCTGGCTGACGAGTCGGCACTTGGGTCCCATCTCTCTCCATGTGGCTGCTGCTTTCCTCGCCCAGCTGGGCCTGCACACCCGGGGCAGTGGCGGATTAGCCACTGGGCCATCGGGGCCCCTGCTCAGGGGCCCCAGCCAATTGGGGGGCCCCGAAAAAATGGGCACCCCCACACCCTGACCCACTCTACCCACCCGCCCAGTGCTCCTGCAGGGAGCGGGGGAACTCCCATGCCCCAACCCCACTCCCCAGCAGGAGCACAGGAGGGGAGGACCCCCCCCCCAATTCCTCTGGCCCAGTGCCCCACAAAACTGTAATCTGCCTCTGACCTGGGGAATGGGGGGGTTCACTGATCCCTGGGGGGGGCGGGAGGGGTGTCTCGGTGCTCATTCGTCTATGTACACTTTGGGAGCCATGTCTGGAGAATATCACAGGCCTGTCTGCAAGCCCAGAGGAGCATGCACAGAGTTTGCTTGTGCACTCACGAGGTCCATGTTCACTATCGCCATCAGCAAGCTCACCATGCATGTGGACTTGTGCAAGTCTCACTGGGGGGGGGGGGGGGGGAGGGACTGGCTGGATCAGCTGGTGGGAGGCAAGCTCCGGGACATGCAGGCGAGCTCCGAACGCGTGTGGAACAGGCAGGTGCAGAGGGAAAGCTGGCCCGCACGGGGACGGGTGTGCGAGAACGAGGAAGCGTGATCAGGCATGGGGCACGCGCGGCGGGGGAGGAGCGCCGCTCACCTTGTGCTTGTACCACTGTTCGGCCTCCTCCCGGCTCCTGGCTGCCATGGCCTGGTACTGAGCCTTCACCTCGTCTATGACCTGCTTCATCTCCAGCTCCCGGCTGTTATCCATCTCCACCGTCACCTGCGTGTTCTGGATCTGGGACTGCAGCTCCCGGATCTCCTGGGAGAGGGAAGAAATTCGGGAGGGGGAGGAGGGGGGTTTGAGACAGAGCAGAATCCAGATTCCTCTTTCGCTGCATTTTGCGTGGACTCCCCCAGCCAGTGCACCCCAACGCTCCCCAGGCGGGACCGCCTGCAAACAGAGCCTCTGGAGCCCCCCATGGGCCGGCGCCCACCTCGTCGTACAGCTGCTTGAGGTAGTCGATTTCGTCCGTGATACTCTCCAGCTTCGATTCGATATCCACCTTCTGCAGATACAGGTCGTCGAGATCCTGCAGGCACAGGAGAGACGCCGTCAGGGCACCTCCATGTGGGGCAGAGGAGCTCCTGTCGGGCCCCAGTGCACCCTGGGGTCAGACCCAGCAGTGTGGGTCCTGGACAGCCAGCCACTGCAGCCATTCTGCTTTGTGGAGCAAGGGGGTGAGGGGGATGTTGGCCAGGACACCTGGGTTCTCCCTTGATTTCCCCTCCCAAATGCCCTGTGGGTCTTCAGCCCAAATCCCTTCCATCCCAGTGGAAGATGAATGTCTCCTCCAGCCACACAGCACCCTCGCATCTGATCCTGCTTTGGCATGTGCCCATGTCCGGGAGGGGAGCTGAACCCCAGGGGGCAGGGCGTGACCTGCTGGGCTGTACGGGTAAAGCAGGGACTAGCTGGGCAGAGATGTCCCCGGGAGGAAGGGTGGAGGTTTCTCACCTTCTTCGTCACGACAAATTCGTTCTCCAGCTGGTTCCGCCGATTGATCTCGTCCTCATACCTGGGGAGAGAGGGGAAGTGCAGGGAGCCAGGCAGTGCAGCAGCAGCCATGGTGAGCCGTAGTGAGCCGGGACCCCGTCCCACGGGAGTATGGGGATGGATGCTCTGACTCCAAGCCAGAGAGCAACAAGGCTCAGCTGACGAGGAACGGGCTCTGGGTTCGAATCCTGGGCGTGTCTCACGGCCCCTGGCTGCGGGGCTCAGAGATCAAGGTGTGGGGGGCAGGTGAGGCACTGGGAGAGGAGCCCTGAGTCAGCTCCCTAGCGCCCCCTACTGGAGATGGCTCAGCAGCCACGCTGGTCAGCGTGGCGAGCCCCAGCCAGTCTACACAGCAGCCTCGGGGAGGTGGAGATGTGGAGTTTCTCGAGCGGGGGGGGGACTTAGGAGGAGAAATTGCTGGGATCCTCCACAGTTTATCTGGGGCTGGGGGGGGGTCTCTGCCCTGCAGCGGGCAGGCCTCAGGGAGAAGCATCAATAAATGCCAGACTGGGCTGGCTCACGGGGCACGACTCCTATGGGCTGGGCCCCTGATTTCTGGGCTCCTCCCTGGGAAGGAAGCTCCAGGCTCAGACCCCCTGGGTTCTGAGGGCGGGAATGGGCAGATCAGGTGCTGTGGAGGAGGAGTATGTGGGATAAATACAAACTGGGGGCTTCCTGCGGCAGATGGCAGCTGATCCCAGCCAGGACAGAAGACAAGACCCCTGCCCCACAAGAACAGGGCTGTTTCCTGTCCAGCACCCATGTCCTGGGTGATGGGTCCAATGGATCTCACTGACGGGGCCTTTCGTCTCCTCGGTTCCTACCCCACCTTTCATGGTTTCCTCTCTCCTGGAGCTCACTCGGCTTCGCTGCCGTATGGGGCCACCTGCCCCGGACCCATGTACCTGCCCTTCAGCTCCTCCAGCAACGCCTGCATGTGGTCCAGCTCCGTCCCCAGCTTGCCTTTGTCCTGGTTCAGCGTCTCGATCTGCTGCTTCAGGTTCTGGCTGGAGCGCGCCATGATCTTCCCCAGGTTGGACTTGTATTGGTCCGTGTCCTTCAGCAGCTTCAGCTGCGTCTCCAGCACTTTGTTCTGCTGCTCGAGGTTACGCACCTGGAGGCGAGAACAAGCGGTACTGGGCACTGCGCTTCGCGCCGCCCGTCAGGGTCGCCCAGGCAGGCAGCTGTGCAGTAAGACCGTCCCCCTCTGGGGGCTCAGGGCAGGTCCCTCAGAAATGTCTAGCGAGGATCAGTGCACCCAGGGGGATGCACAGGAGGAGATGGCTGCAGAGGGCGAAGCAGCAGGTGTAAAATCCCCACGCTCCCTGGAACCCAAGAGGTGTGAATCCCGGCCCAGGTTGGTTCTGCCCTCCCTGCCCAGGCAGATCCAAAGAGCCAGTGCTTCCCCTTGGCCATTTCCCCTCCCCCTCCTGGATTCCAAGGCCAGCAGGGACCATTGTGATCTCTGGCCTGGGTTAGACAGGAGGTCAGACCAGATGAACGGCCACAAAATCATTCCTGAGGCAGAACGTTTGGAAAACCATCACTAGTGAGCTGTGTGGCATGACCACATGCTGGCCGCAGGCACAGAGCTGGCAGGTTGAAAGGCGTTCAGTCTAGAACCATAGGACAGTTGTCACTTAGTAGGGCTGGCTGAAGTTTTGCAACCAAAAGAATTCTCCCGTCGGAAAATGCGGTTTCATCAAAAATCAACGTTTCCCGCGGGGAAATGCCGGTTTTTGACAAGGTTTTTTATTTTCAGATCAAGCGAAGGGATCGAAACAAGCACATTTCAAACGGCCGTTTCAAAGGGAGCCCGCTCCCTTTCCATGCTTCCAGACGTGTCGTTTGGATCAAAACACAGCGATGTTTTCGGTTTCCACATTGCCGATCTGAAACTGTGCCACATTTTTGGCGTTTGCAACATTTTTCACCCTCTGAATTTCCCTTCTGATTCTGAACAAAAAGTAACATCAAAAAGTCTAAACTTTTTGACAGCTCTATCGATTAGCCAGCCATCTTTGGCTACTCAGGGATCGGACCCCAGAGATCCTAGTTCCACCACAAGGGGGCGATGCAGTGTCTCCTTTTCCAAGAGAGCATGACGAAGGCTGCAAGCCGGTGCATACATCCTACCAGCGGGTGAGAGGGGTGAATGCAAGGGAAGTCATTATTATTTGGATTACGGCAACGTGTAGCAGCCCAGTCGTGGGGCATTGTGCTGTACCAATACAGAACAAAACTGTGATCCGTCTGTGGATAAGAGGGAACAACCTAAAAAGGCAACTCTCTCTAGCAACCAGGTGCCTGGCTGTTAATGAAAGACAGTCCCAAACACCTACAAGATCTCTATCAAGCGTTCTTACAACTACAATATCCACCTGCTGAAGTGAAGAAACAGATTGACAGAGCCAGAAGGGTACCCAGAAGTCACCTACTACAGGACAGGTCCATCAAAGAAAGTAACAGAACGCCACTAGCCGTCACCTTCAGCCCACAACTAAAACCCCTCCAGCACATCATCAAGGATCTACAACCTATCCTGAAGGATGATCCCTCACTCTCACAGATCTTGGGAGACAGGCCAGTCCTTGCTTACAGACAGCCCCCGCAACCTGAAGCAAATACTCACCAGCAACCACACACCACACAACAAAAACACTAACCCAGGAACCTATCCTTGCAACAAAGCCCATTGCCAACTCTGTCCACATATCTATTCAGGGACACCATCATAGGACCTAATCACATCAGCCACAGTATCAGGGGCTCGTTCACCTGCACATCTACCATTGTGATATATGCCATCATGTGCCAGCAATGCCCCTCTGCCATGTACATTGGCCAAACTGGACAGTCTCGACGCAAAAGAATAAATGGACACAAATCTGACATCAGGAATAATAACATTCAAAAAGCAGGCGGAGAACACTTCAACCTCCCTGGTCATTTGATTACAGACCTAAAAGTCGCAATATTACAACAACAAAAAACTTCAAAAACAGACTCCAATGAGAGACTGCTGAGTTGGAATTAATTTGCAAATTGGACACCACTAAATTAGGTTTAAATAAAGACTGGGAGCGGATGGGCCATTACACAAAGTAAAACTATTTCCCCATGCTTATCTCCCCCGCCCCTCCCCCCAGTTCCTTATATCTCCTTGTCAAGTGCTGGAAATGGGCCATTTTCATTACCACTACAGTTATTTTTCTCTCCTGCTGACAACAGCTCACCTTAACTGATCACTCTCCTTATAATGTGTATGGTAACACCTATTGTTTCATGTTCCCTGTGTGTATATCTATCTTCCTTCCGTATTTTCCACTACATGCATCCGATGAAGTGGGCTGTAGCCCATGAAGGCTTATGCTACATTAAATTTGTTAGTCTCTAAGGTGCCACAAGTGCTCCTGTTCTTTTAGTCCCAAGGAAGGGAGTGATACAGGACTCTACAGGAGATCTCCACCTTGCAGCCCTAAGGTTTATCCATCTTCTAGGTCACAGGCAAGAATGAACCTAATCAGCATCTGGGTCCCTCCCGGGCACAGCGCAGCTGGGAGGGCATTTGGCCTGTGAGCCGGTTAGTAGGCTCCAGGGGATTTGTCCCTCACCACAGACACCCCCAGCTCCTCCCACTGGATCTGGCACTGACAGCGGAAGGATGGAGTGTGAAATCTAGAAGCCTTCAGGTGTCCAGAAAGGGAACAGCTGCTAGGTAGTCATTGCCAGTTCAGCAGACAGAGGCCAGGGTGGGAGGGATAGACAAGCACAAATGTTGGCCAGAACGGGCCAACCACGGAACCAGAAGGTTAGGAGGGACCGTAAGGGTCGTCTAGTCTAACCCCCTGCCAAGATGCAGGATTTGGAGAGGGAAACCATAAAGTTACTGGCAAAAAGAAGTGCATGGACGTGGATGGGGCTCCTTCTACCTTCCCCACGCTCTGGTAGGAAACAGTCCCGGAGGGTTTCCAGCTCCTGCAGGATTTGCAGATCTATTTATTCTAGGGATAGGCCCTGCCACGCTGCTCCATTACTACAGTGTCTGGGATGTGGATATTTGTCTGATGAGACCCGGACTGAGCCCCACCAACGGATTTCATATGGGCCACCACACAGCTACGAGATGGGAGTGACCTGCAGGCGTGGGCTGGATTTGAGGGGTGATTTAGACTCTGTACCCCATCAGCAGGGCCATCCCATCCCCAGCAGGGTGTGTTTCAGATGATCAGGGCTTGCTCACAGCTGTGCTGCTCCTTGCGGAAATTCTTATTTGCATTTAGCTTGCAGAATAAGAGAGGAATTAAGAGTCTTTTGTTCTCTGCCGCACGAAGGGATCAAGTGGCTGCATTAGCTTCTGCTCCACAGAACTTTTTTGTGGCTTTGTCACAGCCAGCCACGGTTCCCCCAGGGGCGCTGGAACAGTTTGTATCGTGGGGGTGCTCAGAGCCATTGAACCAAACTGTCAACCCTGCATATAATGGAAACCACTTCAAGTCAGGGGGTGCAGCAGCCCCCCAAGTTCCAGCACCTATGGGCTCACCCCTTTCCTGCCCGGCTCAGGTCAGGTGCTCTGCCAGCTTGGTCATTGTTATCAAGCCCTTTGGAGTGGCTGACATGAACCAGAGTCTGTCAGAGTCAGTGGGTGTTTGATTATTGATGCTGTGTGGGAACAGGAGTTGCAGAGACCCAAGGCTGAGAATGTCTCAGAACCACCTGTTTTGCATCCAGTGGCAACTTCCTTATTATTTTTTAAGCTACACTAAGGCATACGGTAGCTCACAGGAGGTCTTAAAACCCAGGCTTGGTGCCTCTTTCATTTCTTTATGCTGGATTAAGAAAGCCCGACCCAAAAATTGTTTTATTTGGAGAAGATTCCCCTCTCCCCCTGCTTGTTTTTGATCTTTGGACTATCTGCTCTTCCCTGGTTTTGCTGGAGGATCTGTGGGATGTCGTCACTCTTTAACGAAGACTTTCTTTCTCTAACAGGTTTGCTAGCCACTGGAGTGAAATAAGCATCAAAGAGAAAAGCCGGAGGGTCAGACTAAAAAAAGCCCCTCCCAGTGGCTCGGCGTTCACTCTCGGCTTGTGTGGTGCCGCTATTTCCCGGGCTGCTAACCCTAAACCTAAACCCTAAACCCTAACCCTAAGCATGGTACCTTAGACAGCAGACAAACTGCTAAGGTGAAAAACCAGAAGAGATTCTTTTCAAAACCCTTCCAGGCGCTTCATCCACCAGGAAGCAGCAATTTTAAAAAGTGTCAAATCCATCAGAGCAGCAGAGACACCAGGTGGCCCGACAAAGTTCATGCAATTATTAAGAAACACAAACTTCCCCCTGGGTGGATTATCTTTGAACAGCTTCATTAGGAAAACAAGGGCGTCACCTCAGAGGCTGCGCATCCAACCTGTGAGTTAGATTCAAGTGTGTGTGTGTGTGTGTGTGTGTGTGTGTGTGTGTGTAGCTGATGCTCAGCTGTATTAGGGAAAGGTCAAGGTCAAGAGTCAGTAACTCGCAGTTTTGCTGACTGGAGAAGTCAGTTGCGTCCCAGGTTAGCACAGCCCTGAATACAGCGCCCCAGGACAGCAAGTGGAATTCTAGATAGAATGCTCGTTTGTCATCACATTTGCTGATTTGCTAATACAATAAGGATGGTGGCCGTGATCCTGCAGACGGCCCCGTGTGTGGACAGCTGTGCCCACGCAGAATCCCATAGGGCCGTGCACAGGTACAGACGGGCGTCTGTGTGGTTCCAACTACAGGATGGGCTGTCCTTTGCACCTCTCTAGCTCCATCCACCTGAGGGTCGCTGTGTATTGTGGTGAGCTCTGTGTCACCCCCCCCCCCCCAGCGGCAGGTAAATCACCTTGACAGCTTTCTACAGAGAGGCGGAGCCGATCACCCAAGGTCACACAGGGCGTCTGGCAAAGGCAGGCGCTCGAATGAAGGAGTTTATCCGTGGCCTACCCGGCTGAACTGGCAGCTTCCAGTGGTGGTTTGAGGCTGTGATAGGGCTCCAGGTGTCACGTCTCTCAAAGCACATGTGGAAAGCCAAGGAGAAGACTGGGGCCGTGCCTACATGGGAAGGGGTTTTCATTTTTAGGTGCAACTCAGATAAGGGGATTCTGCCATTAGAAATAGTCGAGAGACAAGGTGGAGGAGGTGAGATCTTTCCTTGGACCAACCTGTTGTAGCTCGAAAGCTTGTCTCGCTCACCAAGGAGCTCTTCTTCTGGTCTGGGGAAGCTTGAACGCTTGTCTCTCACCAACAGACATTGGTCCAATAAAAGATAGGACCTCCCCCGCCTCGTCTCTCTAACAACCAGGGACTGACACGGCTACACCACCGCGGACGACATTCGAAAGGTTTCCCACCAGGGACGCCCGAGCTCCCTTCCCCGCTGTTTGAGAGGCAATCTGGTTACTCGGAGCTCTGAGGTGTGGCAGGCGGCTGGCAAACAATGCTGGGATTTCCCGTGACTGAACATTCCTGTTCATTTGTCAAAGATATTTCTCTAGGACCTGACCCAGAGCCCACTGGAGCTAATGGGAGCGGTCGGAGTGTGCCCATCATTCCTATAACAACACGGGAACACGCTCACGTCCAGTAAACGCACACAGGTTTAAATGAAAGCCATCAGCTCCGGCTAGGGGACGAAGGAGAAAGATTTATGATGAGTCTAATTACCCCAGAATCTCTTTCCCCGCCTGATTTCACCTCCACCAGGTGCTTCGCGTTGAACAATAACTTTTTTGTCCTTCATAAAACTTCAGCAAATCAGCAGGGAAGCAACAGATGAACAATTGGCTGGAGACTGGCATTCAGAAGTTAACGCTACGTCTACACGGCCTTGCTAGCAAGGACTCAGCGTTCCCAAGTCTGTGCTTTAGCGTCCACACGGCACTGTAAATCCGGATTTACAATCCGGGTCTCAACTCCTGTGCTAACTGTTCATACTGCAGACCAGGGCTGGGCCCCACCCCGGTCCTAGGACCCACGTCCTGAGTGCTTGCTGAAAGCTGTGGGTGTGGACAGAGTGGGAGGAGTGGGCTCAAACCGGAGTCTGAACCGGAGCTTACAATGCAGTGTAGACATGACACATCCTAAATGACCGGCTGCCCCCCCCCCCCCCCCCCATTTTCAGGTCATGGTTGCTTCACTGGCAATCAGCCGGGAAAGCTCAACTTCTTTGCAGGATGTTGCCACAAAGGTACCAGGGAGGGGGACAGCGCATGGCAGGCGCGTGTCTCGGGGGCACCGGGTTAGATGCCCAGGGCAGGGAGGAGGATACGTTTCCACTGGGATTTGTTTTACATCCGCCCCAGCAGGGCAGATCCTGCGGCAGCAATGGAGCCAGAGGCGCCTGTGGGAGCACGGGGGAGCGGGGCACTCACACCCCGTCCCTCGGCCCGCCCCGGCTCACCTTGTCGATGAAGGAGACGAACTGGTTGTTGAGCCCCTTGATCTGCTCCTTCTCATCGCTGCGGATCTGGTGCAGCGCGGGGTCGATCTCCAGGCTGGGCAGCGAGGAGAGCAGGAAGGAGCCGGACAGGCCGCTGGGGTAGGCGGCGGGGCCGAGGCGGCCCAGGCTGGGGGAGCTGCGGAGCCCCGGCTGGAAGCCCGAGCCGGCCCGGTACAGGGAGCCCCAGCTGGGCTGCGAGCCCTGGGAGCGGCTGCTGAAGCTCATCGGCCGGGGGCGCGGGTAGCTGCTCATCGCCCCGGGAGCTGAGACGCGCGGAGCAAGGGACAGAGGGAGTTCGAGTCCCGCAGCCGCCAGCACCTAAAAATAGGGGCATATTAGCCTAGCCCCGCCCCATATCATCAATTACCATAGCCCCGCCCCCAACAATAAGCCTAGCCCCGCCCAACCGGACTCACCTGAGGCCATCCCCACCCTCATTAGCATAGCTCCACCCCCTTGCCGGGGGCTCCTGAATATTTGCCCCCAGCCCCGTGCGGGGGCGTGGTCTGCAGCGGCGCCTTCCATTGGCCGGCCTCTACCTGTGCATGCAAATGAGGCTCCTGAATAATGCAGCGGCCCAGGTAGAAATAGCGGCGGGGGCGGCCCGGGAGCGGGCAGCCCGCAGCATGTCCCGGTCCCGCAGCGGCTCCCTGGCCGGCTCGCCCCGGCCGTGGCCCGGCTTCTCGGCCGGCAGCATGTACGGGGGCGCGGGCGGCTCGGAGCCGCGGGTCTCGGGGTCGCTGCTGCCCGGCCTGCGCGCCCACCTGGACTCGCTGTGGGCCGGCAGCCAGCAGGAGGCGCTGCAGGGGCTGAACGAGCGCCTGGCCGGCTACCTGCAGCGGGTGCGGGGGCTGGAGGCGGCCAACCGGGCGCTGGAGGCGGAGATCGCCCAGGTGCGGGCCCGCCGCGGGGGCGCCGGCCAGCGGGACTGGGAGGCCTGCGAGCGGCCCCTGGAGGAGCTGCGCAAGCAGGTAGGGCCCAGCCGGGGGTGCGGGGGCCCTGAGCTGCCAGCCCCTGGGGATGCTGCTGCCCCATGCCCTGGACAGGGCAGGGGCCCTGCTGGTGGCAGGCCCCAGTGAAATGGGGCTAAGGGGGCTGCCCTGTGTCCCCTGCCCAGTCACCCCTTCCTTAAGCTTAGAAACAGGGGGGAGGGAATCCGTCTTCTTCTTGTCCCCCATCAGGTCTGCGCTGGCTGCCTCACCCCCTCCCGGGGGAGCCAGAGCCTCTGGCCCACCCGTAGCCTGCCACGGCGAGACCGGAGCTGGGGAAGAGAGATCTGAGGGTGCAAGGGGACAGACAGACACACCCACTTCGTGCAGGAGGCTTATCCGACCTGGGTGTCAATTTCGGGAGAAGGGTCACGCCCTGTAGCCCCACCTGGCTGGTGCCACATCCGTGTGCCCTAATCCGCAAGAAACCCCAGGGAGGCATGCTGGAGCCTGGCCCTTTAGGTCTCATGTAATGGGGGGGGCAGGAACCCCCAATTCCAAAAGCTTCTTATTCCCCACTACCAAGTTCTGTGGAAACACACGCAGAACCAAGAGGGGTCCTGCCCCTGCGCGCTCACAATTGGCTGCAGGCCTGGCCTAGCCCCAGCCAGCAATACTCCAGTAAGATGTAGGACCTTGAGCAAGGATACAACTCTGCGCAGCTCAATCATCTTTCCTTTCTCCACTCTCACGCTCCGGCCCTGCTGCCCTTTGTCGACAGCCGATGGGAGACAGGGCTGTGAAAGGTCAGGGGGCTATTTAGGCTTAAATGTTCAGTGGTGACGTTAGAGTCCTTCGTTTATGGATGCCTGGAAGAGACCTGATGCTTTCAGACTATGCGAAGCACCCACCTTCTGAAAACCAGGCCTCTTTTGAGGTCTCAAGTGATGCCCCCAAAATAGGATGACCAGATGTCCCAATTTTATAGGGACAGTCCCGATTTTTGGGTCTTTTTCTTATATAGGCTCCTATTACCCCCCACCCCCTGTCCCGATTTTTCACATTTGCTGTCTGGTCACCCTACCCCAAAACCACCCTGTTTTGAAAACGGGGAGCTCAGGGGCTGATCTATCGGGAGCCCCTTGCGCCGGTGAACCGCTGCTTTGTCTGTCGCTCAGTGAATCTCTTCGGGTTTGGAAGTCGTCAGCGGATCCCCGGGTGGCTACTCTCTCCTGTTCCCAACTCAACCAGCCGGGCAGGGGAGAGGACAATGAAGTGCCTGCAGAGAGCAGCGAGGCTTCTGGAGCTGCTGAAACGAAATCCCTTGTCCTCTAGAGTCTGAACATACCTGTTCAGTGCAGCGGGCCTTGCCTGGGCCAGCTGGCCCTACAGTACTGTCTAGCTGGCCTCGAGGCGGCTCTCTTCCCCCTCCCCCTGCTTTTGGCAGTCTCTTGGGGCTGCTGGTTAAACAGTTGCTTCTGCTCACGCTGCCAAACATACGTGTGTTTTTTCTCTCTCTCCATTATTAGCCTTCTGAGAGTAAACAAAGGCGCCTAGATCCGGATTCCCTGTCTCTGTACAGATCTCGTCATCTGCCCAAACAGTGTGAACAAGGATCTGGACACGCCCTGTGGGTTTCAGCAGACCCGGGAATCAAGCTGAATTCAGGGTCACTGTATTCCCTGAATATAGACATAAATTCAAAGGCCAGAAGGGACCATTACGGTCCCGCTGCACGGCCCAGGCCAGAGAACTGCCCCCTGGTCATTCCTAGAACAGTTCTTTTGGAAGAGCAGCCAGTCTGGAATCCCACCATGGCCTTGGGCAAATTGTTCCAATCGTTAATTACCCTCGTGGTTACAAATTTACGCCTTCTTTCCAGCCTGAATTTGTCTAGCTTCGGCTTCGAGCCATTGGATCGTCTCCTTTCTCTGCTAGCTCCAAGAGCCCATTATTAAATGTTGGTTCTCCATGTAGGTATTTATCGACTGTAACCAAGTCATCCCTTAACCTTCTCTTTGTTAAGGTAAATAGGGACACTCGGAGCATGGGACTGTGTCCCTGCCCATCCTGGCTAACAGCCATTGATGGACCTGTCCTCCAGGAACTTCTCTAGTTCTTTTTTGAACCCAGTTATACTGTTGGTCTTCACACCATCCCCTGGCAAGGAGTTCCACAGGTTGACTGTGCATTTGGCCTTGTGTTTGTTTTAAACCTGCTGCCTATTAATTTAATTGGGTGACCCCGATTTGTGTGTTAAGTGAAGGAGTAAATAACACTTCTTGATTCACTTTCTCCACATCATTCATGGTTCTGTAGACCTCTATCAGCTCCCCCGTGTCGTCTCTTTCCTAAACTCAACAGTCCCAGTCTTTTTAATCTCTGCTCACACGGAAGCTGTTCCATCCCCCTTATCATTTCTGTTGCCCTTTTCCGTACTCTTCCCAATTCTATTTTTTTTTGAGATGGGGCAACTCAAACTGCATGTGCTATGACAGGAGTGGGCGTACTATGGATTTATATAGGGGCACTATGATACTTTATCTGAGGATCTATCCCTTTCCTAATGACATTTAATTTTTTTGATTGCTGCTGCACGCTGAACAGATGTTTTCAGAGAACTATTCACAATGGCGCCAAGGTCTCTTTCTTGAGTGGTAACTAATTTAGATCCCTTGCATCTGAAGAAGTGAGGTTCTTACCCACGAAAGCTTATGCTCCCAATACTTCTGTTAGTCTCAAAGGTGCCACAGGAGCCTCTGTTGCTAATTTAGATCCCATCATTTTATATGTATAGTTGGGATTATGTTTTCCAATGTGCATTTATCAACATTGAATTACATCTGCCATTTTGTTGCCCAGTTTTGTGAGATTCCTTTGTAACTCTGCGTGGTCACCTTCAGCTGGATTAATTTTGTATCATCTGCAAACTTTGCCACCTCACTGTTTTACCAGATCATTTATGAATGTTGAATAGGACTGGTTCCAGTACAGACCCCTGGGGGGCACCACTATTTACCTCTTTCCATGGTGAAAACTGACTATTTATTCCTACCCTTGGTTTCCTATCTTGTAACCAGTTACTGATCCATGAGAGGACCTTCCCTCTTATCCACGTCTGCTTACATTGCCTAAGAGCCTTTGAGGGACCTTGTCAAAGGCTTTCTGAAAGTCCAAGTACACTAGATGCACTGGGTCACCCGTATTCATGTTTGCTGACTTCCTCAAAGAATCCCAATAGCTTGATGAAGCGGGATTTCCCTCTACAAAAGCTGTGTTGACTTTTCCCCACCATATCGTGTTCATCTCTGTGTCTGATAATTCTGTTCTTTACTACACTTTCAACCAATTTGTCTGGTACTGAAGTTAGGCTAACCAGCCTGAAATTGCCAGGATCGCCTCTGGAGCCTTTTTAAAAAATGGGTGTTACATTTGCTATCTGCCTGTCCTCTGGTCCATAGGCTGATTGAAGTGACAGGTTACACACCACTGTTAGTAGTTCTGCAATTTCACAGGAGTTCCTTCAGAAGTCTTGGCACTCAGCATCTCATGGCGCTTCTTACAAGGCTAAGGTTGTTAGCCTGGCTGTCCTGCACCAGTTGCAACGCTGGCCACTAAGCTCAGCTTCTCCAGATTCCCCCCCCCGCCCCAGTTTCCATTGCACACAATGTTCTCCTCCTTTTCCTGTCCCAAACTGTGCCACCCCAGAAGTGGCTGCATTTTGGTGATAGGTGAAGGATCCCTGTATAGTGCAGTCTGTAAAGTCCACCCCTCACTGAGACTTCTAGCTGGAAAACAAGATCATCCAATTTGGGCTGGGTGGGTTATTTGTTTAAATATTTGTGTCCCAGTCCAGTAGAGAAGCAAGGGACCTTCCCCTTCTCCCAGCCCCTTTCCTGCTGCATTTATAAATCGGAAGGAGGAACAGTCTATTTCTGATGGGAATATTAGAGGGAATGCACTGGGGCCATCGGAAATGTCTTTAAAAAACCAAACCCAGCGAACGATTAGCAAAAGACGAATCATTTCCACCTGTAGGGGGCAGGGCTGACTCGCTTTAAATGTCTAACGACTGGTCCAGAAAGGCCACCACGTTCAAGCTTGTGTTAAAAGTAAAGCACCCAGGGAGGATTTTCAACAGCACCCAAGAGACTTAGGCACGTGGGCCCCAGTGGCTTGCTTGGCAAAGTCCCTCGAGCACGTTTGAAAATCTCCCCCTGGAATAGACGTGGCCCTGAGTCTCGGTCCAGAGGACCTGAGCACCTGCTGCCTTCAGTGAGAGGTGGGGGCGCAGCACCCCCGAAAGTCAGTCCACTCCTATCGCTGCTGAGTTTGAGGCCCTCCAAGTCTGTCTCTTGGCCAGCAGAGAACTGCCTGGACGGGAGAGACCTCTGTTCTGTCTCCCGTCAGACTCCTCAATCATTGCCGTATGGAAGCCAGGGGTACCTCCGACAGACCTAATCTTGCACTGGCTGCGCTGTCTTCTACCTCAATGGGTCTCTGATCCTGCCATGAGCTCCATGGAAACAGACAGCCCCTCCCTCTCAGTGGGGCTCCCAAGACATGGGGATCGTTTCCCCCCACCCCTGAAATGCAGCTGCTTCTGGGTGAAACGCTGCAGCTGTATCTTGCTTGGCCAGCTTCTGATTATGCCAACTCAAGAGAGGGAACCTGGCCAGGTGTCTGAATGGGGGTGGCTAGACAGGTGGCACTGAAACACAGCGGGTTGCTCGGGAAGTTGAGGACTCTTCTTGGAATGGCAGCGTAGGTCCGTGGCTCAATGGCCTCCATGGATTCGAAGGAGCTCTGGATCCAGCCCAGAAAGCAGCTTGTTTTCAGGTGCTTCCACGGAAGTGCCGCTGCTAGCAGCTGGATCTTCCGTCCCAGTTAAATTCTCCTCCCTGGAACGTGCCTCGGCGATCTGACTGGACGCTACTGGGGTCCAGGGAAGAGATGCCCTCTGCCCTGCTTCCCCACGGCCTGCAAAGTACAGCTTCTCCCCCAGCGACAATGCAGCCACCTGCTCTTGGCTTGACTTTGCTGTAACCCAACCCGGTGGCTCAAAGAGCCCCGTGGGGGCAAACAAACGCCTTGTTTTGCTTTGCAAATGTGCCAGTTTCTGAAACGTGAAACCCACTGGCAGGTTCCTTCTGCGCTTGAGCTGCCAGGTCTGAACTTGTTTCAGGAAGAGCTAAGCTGAAGAGGGGACCAAGGCTGAGGTAAGGGCACTGCAGGGGTGCAGACCCTCTCCAAGGGCCAAAGAGGCCTGGGCCACTTCCAGCTTTTGAGGCCCCCCAGCCCTAATAAAAATAAAAGATGACTGTCTAATCTTGTGCCATCAGAACTAATATATTTTTATTAATATTTATGAACATTTTAAACTCCTAATATGACAATCTACATCAGTTAACAAAAAAAAATTACGTCTTTTACCAAATCACCTCTCATTTGCTTAAATTTGCAGCGCTAAGCTGAGTGTGTCACATTTTGGTCTGATAGGGATGCGCATAAAAACAAATTGTGAAACTTGTCAAATGCCAAAAAATTAACAAGTGTCTAAATTTGAGGCCCAGGCTCAATGGCTCTCCTGCCCCCCCCCCCTCCTCTGATTGGCCCTGCAGGGGTGGGTGTGTATCATGTAATATCATGTCACTTAGAGACCACAATGGCAGGAGTTGGAAGGACGGCCCAGTGGTTCAGGCCTGGGGTTTTTCCAACCTGGGCTCAATTCCCTGCTCCACTCCCTGGGACCTGGGATATCTATGCCCCTGTTCTCCCTCTTTGAAAGGGGGACACTAGCCCTGCCCTGCCTTCGAGGGGTGGTGAAAATCAAGGCCTGGGAGGTGCTTAGCAGATAATAACAAGGGGTTATACGAGCACCAGGTTACTGTACCTGGGGGATGACCAGGTGGCTCAGACTTGCTGTTGGGGGGGAAGAACTGGAAGAGGACAAGTGCAAGGGATGGGAATGTGGGGGATGGACAGGGTGACTGGGAGTGGGACCGGGGCAGCCTGAGGGAGGCCAGGGTTCCAAATGGATATTTTCAACAAGCATCCGTGCACACTGCAGCTGTGGGCAGCACTGCATATGGGGTGGAAGGGTGCCTGCCCTATAGGAATCTGGATCAGCATGTGCACGGGAAGGAGGAAGTCTGGGAGCGGGCAGGCTTATGGAGATGGGGAATAATAAAGACATAACATTGATCAGACTAGATCTAATCATCTCTTCTGGACTTAATCTATGGTAGGGGCCTGTTCCCCTTCAACGAGCTTCATGTTCTATTGATCGCTGCATACCCGGGCGAGCAGAAAGCCAGGCCCAGAGATTAGGGGCTTGACTTGAGAGATCCAGAGCCCCTACAGCTCTCGCTGACATCAGCAGGGCGCTCAGCACCTCGGTAAAACTGGCCTTAAGTGATGTAAGACCCAGAGGGAATCTGCAGAGCTGATGCTAGGACGGCAGGTCGAGTCCCAAGATCCTACCTTTGGCCTGTCTCTCTAAGGGACAGACACGCGGTGATGGACTTTAACGTCTCTGCAGCTGGGTTCCTCAGCTGTAAGACCCCTCTGTGGAGAGGTAGGGGGGGAAGTATACGTATCGTTTTAGCATCCCCACCTGAAGTCCCTTGCCTCGCTTGCAGGTGGAGGATCTCAACATGGACAATGCCAAGCTGCTGCTGCAAATCGATAATGCCAGGCTGGCGGCCGATGACTTCAAGGTCAAGTAGGTCGCCTCACTTCCCCCGCTACTCGCCGCTTGAGCTGTGCGTAGAGCAGAGGATGCTCCCCCCGACTGGGGAAACAGACCCGCTCAACAGCCGTGAACCTGTAGCAATCCACTACTGCGGCCAAACTTCTCAGAGCTGAGCTCTGTCCCTGGGGGTTTGTAACAAGTGCATTGTCCGAGCATTAAAACTCATACACAGAACAACTTCCCAAGTTACTAGGTGAAATTCTCTGCCCTGTGCGATGTGGGAGGTCAGAGTAGATAGTCAACGATCCCTTCTGGCCTTGAAATCTGACTCTTAATTCTGATCCCCACATTTCTTCCCTGGAGCAACTCCATGTGGTTGAACGCTAAGTACATGTCCACTTCTAACTCCTCCCTCTTTCTTCCAGTCACCTCTCCTAGCATCAAGCTGGAATCCAGGGCACCTTGCCCCACTTGGCAGGTGCACAGTGTCAGTCTAGAAAGGTGGGAGTGGATTCCCGCTACAATGCAGGGCGGAGAACCTGGTTTCCCTTGCTGGTCTCCCAAACACGTAAGAACAGCCAGACTGGGTCAGACCAATGGTCCATCCAGCCCAGTATCCTGTCTTCCGACAGTGGCCAATGCCAGGTGCCCCAGAGGGAATGAACAAAACAGGGAATCATCAAGTGATCCAGCCCGTCGCCCATTCCCAGTGTCTGGCAAACAGAGGCTTGGGACACTTCGGGGCATGGTTTCCCTTGACCAGCAGCTCAATGGGGGAAGGAAACAGAAGCAAGCCCCTGAATTAGCGTTACCCTCTAATTCCAGAGGGCATTTCCAACGGGCCAGTGCGCCAGAGAGGAGCTACTTCCCGGTGGGGCGCCCTGTTACACAGAGGTGCAGGACAGGTGCTCAGCGTCTGCCCTGGATGCTGATTCTGGGAGAAGTTGCCCACGCCAGCCTCCACTAGCTTCAGGCTCTCTGGGTGCCAGCCCCCCCGTCCCTTTCCTACACTCCTCGCTGCCTTCCCCCCACACGACTGAACGTGTTTAACGCTGAAGCCTTTCTTTGTAAGATCTGCTAGTCCTGGGGCTGGCTTGGTGGCTTCCCTCGCCATCCCTTTTGGAGGGCGGGACAAATCCACTTCCTGCTGCCTTTAACCACCACGCCCAGAACTTTCACAAAGCAACTTGCCTTGCCGAGTTCGAAGGTTCCTCCCCTACGTGTCGCTAAGGCGGCTGGTGTTTTTCAGACTACTGGTCACATCAGTGCTTCGAAAGGGTCTGTCCGCATTTCTATTGTGCCCCTCACCCTGGAATTGGGACGTGTCTGAAGCTGCAGGCTCCAGCGTTACTCACACCTTGCTGGGTTAACTCGTCCTTGGCTTGATCCAAGAAAGCTTCCTGCAGTCAGAGAAGCCAGTGCTTGCAATGCAATGTGCCTGAAATCCGCCCCTCCGCCCTCTGGCAGGGTCTGATCTCTCCCCTTCCTCTTCCCAGGCTGGAGGCAGAGCAGGCCGGGTGCGACAGCGTGCAGAAGGACACCCAGGGGCTGCGCAAGATCATGGAGGACACCAACTTCCTGCGCATGAAGCAGGAGGCGGAGCTGGAGGGGCTCAAGGAGGAACTCGCCCACCTGCGCAAGAGCCACAAGGAGGTAAAGGCTGGCCAGGGGCAGCTGGCGGTGTGGGAACGTGGCTGGCTTAGCCGTGCTTTGCCTGGGGTGACGGCGCTTGGGGGCAACCAGCGCCGGACTGTGAGCAGCTAACACCCCGTTACCCTCTCTGCAGGAAGCGGAGGCCCTCAGGGCACTGATTGCTAACTCTGACGTGACCGTGGAGGTGGATAACCCAAAGAAGCAGGAGCTGAGTGAGAGCATCGCCCAGATCCGGAAGCAGTACGAGAAAGTGGCCGAGCAGAACCGGGACGATGCCGAGAGCTGGTACAAGGCCAAGGTGAGGGGAGAACCGAGGAGAGCGGCTGCGACCCCGCGCCATGACGGTCTCTGGCATAACCATGGTGTCCCTCTCCTTTCCCATAGTTCGACACGCTGTCCCAGGAAGCGAACGTGAACACCCAAGCCCTGGAGGAAGCCAAGAGCGAACTGAGTGAGCTGCGTCGGCAGCTTCAGGGCCTGGAGATCGAACGCCAGACCCTCCAGAAAATGGTGACGAGACCCTGCTTTCCCCCAGCTCTGTTCCTGGCAGCATGTGCTGCTTCCCTGGCAGGGCAACGGTCTCCTCCTGCAGTCTGAGGAAGCAGGAGTTTGAGATGGGGGAAAAAACCGCCCAAGACCCGCTCCTGGGTGGGGCTGGGTTCTTCCCTCTCCCAGTGAGCCTCTTTCCTTAGGAAGGACGTGAGGTTTTCACTCTTATTGCCCATCTCCTAAAGCTGTGCCGTGAGCCAGGTAGAGGAGGGACTGAGTTACATGCCCCAGGAGGAAGCATCTGCCATGTCTTCTCCCCCGAGTCCTTGCAGGCCCGACCTGAAACTGATCGCTGCGTCAGTCTCTCTGGTTACAGGCCCACTAACCCTTAGCAAGAGCCATGCCTTAGCCTGGAAAGGGGACCCTGCTGTAACCCGTAGGCGCCAAGTGAGCCGGTCCTAATGCCGGCTACACCGTCACAGGGCGAGCAGCCCACCACATACCAGCTCCAGCGGGGATGGAGGCTCTACTGGCCAGACTTCCCCCTAACTGCTGGGATCCTGGTCTCGTCCCTTGCTCAGATGCAACAGTCCGGAGAGCACGGACTACACACATGCTTGTGGAGAGACCAGTAAACTAAGTGCCCAAATTATGGGGTGAGCCTAGCTCGGATCGGAGCATTAATGGCAAGGGAAGGAAAAGGCACCTTCTGGAGGACACCGGGCACTTGCCTCAGACTGGTGGGAGCTCAAGTGGAGCTGCACACCAGGCCGTCCAAGCCCTAGGACGTGTTGGGTGCCTTGGTCCCTCCCCTATTGCCCTGTGGTAGAGTTCCACATCCATGGGCTGGTGCAGGCTCCCAAGGGTTCCTGGGCTGATGCAGGCCCCCGTGGCCTAGCGATTGCATTGAGATCCGTGAGTAAGTTGCACACAGGCTGCCAGGTCATGTGCTCTGGGCCCTGCTCCTATCCAGGTGGAAACCCTGGAGAACACTTTGGAGAACACAGAAGCCCGCTACAACGACCAGCTGGCGCACCTCAATCACGTCATCGCCAAGCTGCAGGAGGAGCTAGCCGCCTGCCGGGCGGACCTGGAGCGGCAGGCCCGGGACTACGAAGCCCTGCTGGACGTGAAGAGCAAGCTGGAGAATGAGATCAGTCAATACAGCCAGCTGATTGAGGGAGTGATAGACAGGTAACCGCACGGGGCCATGAACACTCCAGCCACTGCTCTCCCTCTATCCAGCTGGCTTTGGGGCGCTACCGACCCTTGGAAGTCACTCGAGTTTCTCTGCTCCTGTTCTGTCCCGTTCTATGGGGTCTTCCTCCTCCTGTTCAGGGCCGATTGACCGAATCCCAGACCGCTTTGTCCTGCCAGCTCCCGCGCCGTGCTTTATCGGTCTCCTTGCCGGATGCAGGGTGAAATCAGCACTGGCTGGGGTGTGGTCTCTGATCAGCCGGCATTGCACTGACGGGGCTTCTTTACCTGCACTTTTGGCTAGGAAAAGATAGCCCAGTGCCCTTGGCTGAGAGACTGGGGCTCCGTCAGAAAACCAGGATTCCTTTTCTACCTCATGCACCTGGTGGAAAGGCGTTGCCCAGAGCAGGAGGGAGTGGAGCATGGGTTTTTTTAGCCCATGTAATGGAGCCATGCTGTTTCTTTGCAAGCCTTAGTTACCAGGCAGAGACTGTATTCATAACAGCTGCTATGAAGAGAGGAAGCAACAAAAGACATGCAAATCCCATGGGTCACTACAGTTGCCCAGGGCTGTTCAGGGAGAGGTGCCCACTGTAAGCAAATCACACACACACACACACACACACCCCCCCCGGGACAGGGATCACACAAACGCTGCCATGTTGTGTGTTTGCAGAGAGGAACTGCTGAATCCAGCCAGCACGGGTAAGTGACCCCGGGTGGTGCCATTAGCATAGGGGCGCTAGCGAGTTGGAGAGCAACCTTCTTCGCTGTACAGGTCTGCCCTGGCACCAATCTGCTTGCAAGCTTCCTGTGTGATCACGCTCAACGTGCCAGAACTGTGTCCTCTTATCTTGCTACCGTTCCTTTTCTACCAATGCGGCCGTGTCCTTCAGCCTTGGTCTTCTGTCCTGTTGGAAAGTAGAGTTCCAGGCCTGGCATGTCTGGAGTAAAACCACTGCCCATCCACTCCAGAAAACATGGTAGGGGAAAGGGCACCCAAAGGAGACACTCTGCAGGGGGAGATGGAGCAGCAGGCTGGCTCAGTTTGGTCATCTGAGAAGCAGCACATTGGTGCATTGGCCCGTTGGGCTAGCAGCTAATGCTTCCACAAAGGCCTCCCAGCCCTCTGTCCGTCCAGTAGTAGCACTGAGCTAATCCCCTCGTCTCTGCACCAAGACTTGTGCTCACTGCAGCCTCTGAAGCGCCTTGCTTCCAGGTTGCAGTTGTTGGGTGACTCCAGCTGTCCTACGTCACCCCCTGGCATGAGTCCCTTTCTCTGCAGCACAGATCTGAGCAGAAGGGAGCTGCAGGAGTCTGGTACCAGTCTACTAACCCCTTTTCCCTTCTCTCTCAGGCTCCCGCAGGCAGACCATTAAGAAGGTGGTGGTCACCACCCAGGAGATTGTGGATGGGAAAGTGATTGCGCAGCGATTGGAGGAAGTAATTCAGTAACGAGGCAAATCTCGATCTACCGCTGCTGCACTTACAGCTCCTTTTAGTCTGATTCAACAAGCCAGGGGTGTGGGTTGCATTGTCTTCTCTGCTGTGATTGGAATACTGCTCAATAAAGATCTTCCAAGCACTTTGCAATGGCTCCTGTTACTGCCGGTTGGTCCGGACACCCGGGCGGGAGGCGCCATTTAGCTCACACATGGCAAAGGCACAAAGGAAGCCAGCAGGTGGAAGCTCCTAGGGGAGAGGCAGCTCACAGATGGTACCTGCCAGTAGTTAAGTGAAATAGCCAAGATCTGGCTGGGCATTAGGCTCTGCCGCTGTCAGGACTAAGAGGGGCTGCCTGGATGCGGGACGTGCTCTTTGGGGAAGGAGATATCGCCTCCTTGTCAGACCTGAACATTAAATAAGTGTCTCCCCCTCAAGAGATGCTGGAGCACGATGGGCAACAGAGGCTGTGCAGATGGGAACTGGGGTGCTGCTCGGTTCCTTACAGTTGGGGGTTAGCAAGGAAGAGAAGTACAACCTTTAACAGTGAAGTGATCCCACTCCCCACCTTCTCAGGTCGTGGAGGGGTTTACCGTACACCAAGTCACCCTCTGGGTCTTCAGTGGCTCCCACAGTGTAATCCCAGGTGCATTATCCTACTCCTGGGCTGGCCCCCAACCCTTCCCCTGCCCAGGGAGTCTTCAATCACTCACCTTTTATTTGTCCAGTGACAGGAAAAGGCCCCCAGAGGACTGAAAAGTGAAGGCGTTCCTCTAGGCAGGGGGCTGCTGGCTTTCCCTGGCCTGCCCAGTACAAGCAGGGGCATGGCTGCTCTGGGGAATAGCCAGTAGGAGACAACAGGCCCAGACTGTTTCAGGCTCTGCCCTTCCACGTAGCTGACACTTGCGTGTGCCCAGCTTTGATGCCCTCTTTGCATAGGCTGCTCCCACGGTCCCCCATGCATGGCCTACTGTTCGTTCCTGTGCAAAGCTGCTTTCCTGTTCTATTAGCCGAGCACCTCCACGCTCTAGCCATGAACCAAACGCACATTGTAACACACAGTCCCCGACTCAGTGACACTCGCAGGCGGCTTACAAGGACAACCTGTAATGGGAGAGGCTTATACTCCTAGGCGCTGTTAAACTGAACGGAATGAGAACAAACCGTAGTTTCACACACAGAGGGGAGAGCTGGTATCAGATAAGCCCGAGGCCAACACTGCTACAAGAGGTCTTCTTCAGAAGGCTTAGCCTGCAGGGAAGATTCTTGGTTTATCTCCTCGGTACTGTCCTGGTATTTCCCTCCACCTGAATGTAACAGAAGGGTGGAAGTGGAAGGATAGCCAGGGGCTCAGGGCAATCCAAGGTGCTATGGAGAGAGGTGGTGTGAAGTAACACAGAGCACCTATGACAGCAGCCAGTGGACTGCCCCAGTAACCTTCCCTAGCATGGCTGGCCGACCTGCCTTCCTCCTTCGCTGTGTTGTTTAAATGGAATTGCCTAGTTTTTTTTTAAAAGAAATGAAGGTAGAGGTGTTCCTGCATCTGCCAACAGTGAAACACCCCCACAGCAGGGATCACCGCGAAGGCAGGAGTCCTGGCCAGAATTCTGCACACTCTTCTACGTCATGCTGGAGTCAGGGCTCCCTTTACGTTGTCCTAAGCTACACCCAAGTGCGCAGAGCCCAGAGCAGGAAGGGACCACACTATTAGTGAGCATGTGCAGAGGGTTTACACCATTCACTTTTCACACATCAGGCAATTTTCACAAGAGCAGAGGGCACTATAGGGCTAGCCCCCGGCAGCAGTTCACGATTCAGCACCGCTAGCTGTGGCCCCACAGCTGATCAAGGATCACATTTCACATGACAGTGGAGAAAATACTTTCGCCTCCGTTTTTCAAAATCAAAACCATCTTTGGTTGAGCTCTGGAAAACATTCACTCCTGGGCTGAGCCTGACCTTGCCCAATTTCAGCCCAAAAGATTGAAGAGGTTGCAAGCAAGTGAAAGTGCTTACACCAGAAATGCTTGTTCAACCTACATTCTGTCCAGGACGCAGAGAACACTCCTATGTTATCACTGGGACGGGCTAAGTGGGACATCATAGGGCTTTTCCAGGTCTAATTTCTATAACAATCCAAACTCTCACAAGCTGTTAAGATAGAAAGATCTCCTTTATTAATGAATCCCAACAGTATTTCTTCAGATACAGGAGTTTTGAACTCAAATACTCAGAAGAAAACAAGTTAATATTGCATTATTCTCATAAGAAATACTGCAACTCATTACCAGTAACATATTGCAAAGCAAAACAGCTGGAAAAGAAAAAAGAAAAAGAAAAGAAATTAAACTGATCAAAATGGAATTAAGGTTGGTTTGTTTTTGAACTAGTAAGTCCTTGCAAGCACAGCTTGTTTCCGCAGATTACTTCCCAAACTTGTACAAAACAGAACCCGATTGGTTGTATTCCGTAAGAGCCCAGAGAGGTGCAACATTAAAAGCTACGATTATCAAGTAGCAAGTGCTCCAGCCTTCTGTCTTCAGCGGCGGCCTCCGCCACACCCCATGCGTTAACGGGATGAGAACGTCTTCCCCCTGTAAGGAGCAGAAGGGCAATATTAGGGGTATTCTCTTACCAAGGATCCCACACGTTACTCAGTCCCAGTAGAGTCCTGCATTGACATTGACTCTGCTCCCTTTCAACCCAGGCGAGACAATGCCCTTTGGGGAAGGGAGGCTGTGGAGAGGATTTGGGGGAGTGCACGGCAGGCAGAAGGGGAGGCTGTTCCTGCCAAGAGGGGAAAGAGGAGAGGGAGGGAACTGCACGGAGCACGGAAGGAAATGAGAGCAGAGATACGAGGTCATGGTTATGGAAGGCCTGGAAGAAGAGGACAAGGAGCAGAAGCCAATGAAGGGGCTGAAGTGTGAGTGAGTGGCAGGAGGGGAAGATGCCTAGACTACGGGCACATGCCCCATGGTATAGGGTGACCGGCTGCAGAGGACCAGTCACAGTCTGGTTTGCTTTCCTGGGGCAGTTTCTTGCAAGAGGGTTCAGTGGAGGAAGCCTCCATTCACCAGAGCCAGACGGATACGCGCCTGGGTGACGGCAAGGCACCATCCTTGTCTTTCAGCACCAGTAATAATATGACCAAGAGGAGTTGTCTACACAGCAACGTAAGCCATGGGTTAGTGGAACTCGAGTCAGCTGACCCACGCCAGGGAACCCTGGGCTTGAGTGCCTACACTGTATTTTAACCCTGGGCTAAGATTTTCCGACCCAGGCTCGAATCTGGGGCTCTGGTCTCCACACTGCAGTGCGCAGACCTGACTCGAAGGGTACGTCTACACTACCCGGATCGGAGGGTAGTGATCGATCCATCAGGGATCGATTTATCGCATCTAGTGTAGACGCGATAAATCGATCCCCGATCGCTCTGCCCTCGACTCCTGTACTCCACCGCGGCGAGAGGCGGAAGCGGAGTCGACTGGGGAGCGGCGGCAGTCGACCCCACGCCGTGAGGACGCAAAGTAAGTCGACCTAAGATACGTCGACTTCAGCTATGCTATTCTTGTAGCTGAAGTTGCGTATCTTAGGTCGATCCCCCACCCCCCGTGTAGACCAGGCCAAAGTAACCTTATCCCAGAGTGCGTAGCACCCCTAGGCCTCTGTGTCGACACTCTAGCCCAGTGGTTCTCAAACTTTTGTACTAGTGACCCCTTTCACATAGCAAGTCTCTGAGTGCGACCCCCCTTATCAGTTAAGAACACTGTTTAATACATTTAACACTATTATAAGTGCTGGAGGCAAAGCGGGGTTTGGAGTGGAGGCTGACAGCTCGCGACCCCCCTTGTAATAACCTTGGGACCCCCTGAGGGGTCCCGACCCCCAGTTTGAGAACCCCTGAACTAGCCCTAGTGTTGCACTGTGGGAAAACTCTACTGCCCACAGCCTGTTTCCTCGCTACGACAGTGCTACTGACGGGACTCAGGTGCTGTAAGGAGCGCGAGTTCGTAAACAGCGTAATTAGCGCCTTCGATGGCTGTCCCAGTAGAATGACTGCGGTCTGGGGAGGCTTTATAGTGAACTGATTGGAGAACTGGCCTTGCCAGCTCCAGGCTGAGTCATACTGGCGGGAAAATGCCCAGGGGCACCTGAGGCTAATTAGGATATCAGTCTCCAGGGCCATCAGCCGATTAAACTGAACCTTTGCAATTCTGAATGTTTAAAATGGGTTGTTCAATGAAGGGGTTTTTGGTTGGTTGGTTTTTTTATTTATTTTTGCCTTTTTGTTTTGAAGTTTGACATAAACTGTAGGTTTCAGAGAAAAAACACCTGCACACCCCAGCCTGGCTGCAGAGCGGTGAAGTGCATCCCCTAGGCTTGGGGTGCAGTGTGCTCCAGCGCCCCCCAAGATCAGAGGCGGATTACGGTTTTGTGGGGCCCTGGGCCAGAGCAAGTGGCTGTTCCCTTCCCCCCCCCCCCCCAAGTGTTCTTGCTGGGGCAATGGGGGTCGAGGCACAGGGGCTTGTCCCGCCCCCCCATCCAGCACTGCTGCCGGGGAGCAGGGTCGGGGAGCGCCAGGCAGGCGGGCGGGCAGAGCAGGGCATGCCCCTTTCTTCCCCCTTCCTCACCCCACCACCCCCGGCACCGGCGGCACAGTGGCTAATCCACCACTCCCTGGGATCCCTTATTCCTGCACCCGCCAGTCCCCAGTAGGAAGAGATAAGGGATCCCTGGGAGGATGTGGGGAATTTTGGGGCTAGCTCCCACTCACCACCCTGACAGTGCATGCTGGCTGGGCAGCTCTGCATACACAGCTCCAGGGAGCAGGTGCGGCCAAAGTGTTGGGGGTCATCCTCCCACAGCCATGCTGAGCCGGGAGCTCTGCTGCTCCCCCTCCCTGCAGGGCAGCACACCCCCGAATCTGGCTGTGCTC